CCTCCTAGAGCAGCAGCTTGAGCATATCTCATATATTCACTCTCCCAAACCACATATTGCATGGATGTTAAAATCATGCGAAATATTTGCTTCCAATCTTCAGGGATCATTGTATAACCATTTTTTATTCCTTCTACAAGTCCTCTTATAAAATTACCACTAATCCCATAGTCTGTAACTGCCTTTTTTAACTCTCTTAAGATCTGATAAGGCAGACCCTCCCATTCTGCTACTTGCAGTCCAAGCTGTGGCCCCTGATCAGGACGATATTTTACTGGACAAACAGACAGTAATTCTGCAAGTTCTGTTCCTGAGACAGAGGCATCCCTTTTACAAGTCTCTACCATTTTCTGAAAAGAAGACTGAACAATAGAGTCAGGAGGCTTTTGCCCTGTATCTGCAGGAGCTGAGGGAATTGAATACATATATTCAGGTGAAGAAGGGGGACAAATGATAGCATTAGTATAATGTGAAGGTGGAGGTGTTAAAAGAGAAAGGTCATTGTGACCAAATTTTTCAATTGCATGCCTACATAAATGCCACACATGCAAAACTTCTATTTTTGCTCAAGGTTCAGTATGCAATGTTTTCCCTATACGTTCCCAATCAGTTAATTTTAAAGACCCCTTTTCTGGGTACTGTAGGCACTGAGCTGCAATCTCCTGGACCAGCCTTAAGAGATTTCTCTGTGGTACCTCAGTATTATTTTTCTTCAACAAATAGCCTAATTCATCTACATGCTTCCTTTGTTCCTCAGAAAGCGAAGATCCCATACTTACAGAAATCAAAAGGTTGAAGAAACCACAAAGGGTTGAAGGTGCACCAAATCCTTGAAGTAAGAGGGTCCCTGTTCAGGCACCACTTGTTGTAATGACGAGGCAGTCGAGTTGTTTGATCATGAACAACTGAATCATGATGATCTTTATTGGAGTCTAGTCTTGCATTTATACATATTTTTAGTTATCCTCCATCATTGGTTAACTTTGGTTACTGCTTAACTTTCATTACTGTTTAGCACAGTAATTAATACAATTAATTATCTCTAGTTAAAGTCTAACATATGTTTACTTCCTCTCTCTAATCCTCCTTTAGATTAGTGACTTTGTTTGCCTGAGTTGTATTTGCTTGGAAACATTCTTTATCTGAGGTTTGCCATCCGAGATTGGAACATTCCTGCAATTACAACTCTACATCCTCTCCTCTGCTTGTGTTTTGCATTTGGAACAGATCTCTTTTCAGGTAGGGAGGGGGAGTAGAACTCCTTAGCATCAGAGCATGTTAATAATAATATACGAAATACTAATGCTCTGGTGGTCATTTCGAAAAATCCTTTCTTAGTGTGCACGAGGAACATAAATGCCAAATTTCAAATTTGTAGGCTTTACGGTTCTGGAGGTTTTATGGTGATGCATGAGTGGTATTTTTATGATGCATGAGTGGTATTTTGCATATATATATATATATTGCTCTTATATAGAGAGATTTAATGGAGACACACACAAAATTCTGATGACCTATTGCCATCAACATGACAAAAAACAGCTCTTGTTATTTGTTTATATAATTTAGAAGCCACCCAGATCCAAAATTGGGTGGTTTCTATTTTAAAAGTAAAAAATCTTTTTTTAAAAAAAACTCCCCAACTTACACCATTGGTTTAGTGACTGAATTAGAACAGCACTGAAAAAAATGACATGATAGTTTTTCCACATGACCATTGCAGCATCCTCCTGGTCACGTGATCAAAATCCAGGCGCTTGGCAACTGGTTCATAATTATGACGATTGCAGTGTCCTGGGGTCATGTGAACACCTTTTGCAAACTTCTACAAGCAAAAACTTGCTTGTCAGAGGGTCGCAAAAGATGATCACATGACCCCGTCATAAACAGTTGCCAAGAATCTGAATTTGATCATGTGACAATTATGGGGCTGCTGCATTGGTCATAAGTGCGAAAAATGGTTAACTTTGAACAGTCAATAAGTGAACTGTTGTAAGTCAAGGCCTACTTGTATTTTACTGTGGCCACTGTTATAACTCCATAATGATCTCCACAGAAGTTTAGGAGGGAACAGAAACAGAGAAACATAGCTCAATATCTTAAGGATTCACTCTCCTAATATAGGTACTCCTCAACTTACGACCAAAATTGGGACCAGAATTTCTGTTGCTAAGCCTGGCAGTTGTTAAGTGAATTTCATTTGGTTTTACCTCCTTTTTTTTTTGCCAAAGTTGTTTTTTACCAACGTTGTTAAGCAATTCACTGCAGTTGTTAAGTGAATCATGCAGTCATTAAACGCATCCAGCTTCCCCCCATTGACTTTGCTTGCTGGAAACCAGCTCAGAGGGTCAAAAATGGTGATCACATGACACCGAGGTGCTGCTAATATTGCAAATTTATTTGTTTGTTTGTTAAACGTCTATGCCACCTATTCTGTCTTTTGGTTCACTTGCTGAATATAAAGACAGATAGAATAAATCTACAAATTCTTCCATACAAAGTTTCTTTTATTGGATTATATCAGGTATCCTCAAGGTAACTCACAGTTATGTCGAGATGCATCTAATGTCCAATTCTTTGCACAGTTGAAATCGTAGTGTAAATGATGGTAATCTTTCTATCCCATATTTCATCCCATAGTAGTAGAATCAGGGGGTAGAGCTGCTACCATGAGGCTGTGTTCAGGCAAGAGTGAGGGAGCCTCCCCCAACCCAACAAGGGTCAATTCAGAGACCAATCAGGGTTACAGATGTGACCACATGACATGAACTACATTTCCCAAGATACCTTAACTACATTTACCATGATGCATTCCCTTAAGGGGACCGCTCCCAATTCCTAACTAACTATACCTGGCTAGACAGCACACTACCATCTCGTCAAGGTGACTCGTCAAGACGGCTTACAGTCACACAATACATGCTGGTTGTCAAGCATCCCTCATGTGACCATGAGGATGCTGTAATTGTTAGTGTGAGGAGTGGCTGTGAGTCACGTTCTTCAGTGATATTATAACTTTGAAGAGTAACCACACAAATGGTTGTAATTCAAAGACTACCTGTATCCTGAGGAAACAATACCCTAAACAAGGAATTATCTAACCCCACCAACACTGGCAAACTACTGTATATAAAAAATGAGCAAGCCCCACACTCATTATCACTGATGATAGTCTATAGCAGTGATGGCTAACCCTTTTGGCACAAAAATGCCCAAAGTGCGTGTGCATTCCCAAAATGCAATGCATGCATGCTCTGTGCATGCGCCCCTCCCCCACGTATACACATGTGACCCCCCCACACCCCCTGCCTAGGCGTGCAAGACCCCCTTGCTTATGCTGACAGAGACCTGAAGACCAGCTGGCCGGTGGGAGGCGCACACATGCATGTGTGGCAGAGCTGAGCTGGGGTGACGGCTCGCATGCCCAGAGAGAGGGTTCTGCATGCCATCTCTGGCACGCGTGCCATAGGTTCACCATCACAGGTCTATAGCAGGGGTGTCAAACTCGATTTCATTGAGAGCCGCATGAGGGTTGTGTTTGACCTCGGGGGTGGGGGCAAGGAGGCATGGCCATGGTGGGCGTGGCCAGCATGATGTCACCGTGTCAGGGGGCGCCTGTGGTGGCTTGAGCGCTCTGCCAGTGAAAACAGGCTCCTGAGCTCCGCGGGCCGGATCTAAGCACTCTGTGGACTGGATTCAGCCCCTGGGCCATGAGTTCGATACCCCTGGTCTATAGAGATTTTTCAGTCATCCAGGTCATGGTTGTCTCATGAAGGTGCATTTTTAGGAGGCCGCCGGACTTTCTTGTTTTTCTTTTGAAGACATTTTGCTTCTCATAAAAGAAGTTTCTTCAGCTCTGACTGGATGGTGGGGCATGGAAGGATTTATACTCCTTGCAGACATATATTTGCATCCTTTTAGACTGACCTGGATGACTAAGAATCTCTGCAGACTTTTAGCTATGCAATTGGGATGAACGCCCTTTGAATGGCGTGGGAGTAAGAATGGATTTCCAGAGGGTAAAAAATTGCAGACTACAGGAACCAGAAGCACTACTCAGGTGACCCTGAGGACACTGATAAACCTCCAAGTGCTTTAAAGACCCTTTAAAAGGATGCAAATGACCAGCTGTCTGCAAGGAGTATAAATCCTTCCATTCCCCACTCTCCTGCCAGAGCTGAAGGAGCTTCTTGGATAAGAAGTAAAACGTCTTCAAAGAAAAAAACCCAAAAAAGTCTACTTGCCTCCTGAAAAAGCACCTTTGGGTCTACCGGTGATGATGTTGCCTAGTTGGGTAATAAAACATCTGCAAGCAAACAGCCAAGTCCAGACAGCACCGAGAACTCCACACAACGTGAGTGTTTAAAAGTTACAGTGTGGTAAAGGCAACATTCACAACTGAGTGCCGCATCAGGACATGCACGCACCCTGCTCTGAAAATAAATCAATGCTTTACCCAGGGGACGTCTAACCTTTTTTTTTTATAGGACTTCAAAATAATAAACCAGACCAGGACAATTCATTGCCTCAAGTCAACCCCTCCAAGCGCACGCGAAAGGATTTAATACGTTTACCTATGATAAACAGCAGGCACATTGAGAAGATTTCCAGGCCTATTTGGAAGCAAACCAAATTCCACAGAAGGACAGAGGAGGGACAGAGGAGGGTGCCTCGAGCTCTTCCATGCCTAACAGGGCGCTGTGGGAGTGGGCAGCTGGCGCAAGAGGGCCTCCCCCATTCCTGAAAGGATCCAATTTAAGCGTCTGCTTTTTTAAGAGTGCCGTACCCCTGCACACAAACACATCCAGACTGTCTATGAACCTTGCAGCTTAAAATAACCCTTGCTGCATGGATGGAGGCTGAGAAGCAGCAACAGGTGCTCTGTAGGCTTGCCAAGGCACCAGGGTGGCTGAGGTAGTTGCTGTGCTTGTTGCCAAGTTGGGGGCACTGCCTCGAAAAGACAGGGGTGCTGGGAGAGCGCTCGACAACTTTTCGGCACTGCTTGCAGTGTGTTGACCTAGATAAAACTTAGAAAAAGCTGGGCAACAGACCCAAGCACAAAACCTGGCTCAGAGCTTGGGTGTTTAACAGGCAGCGGACACACTAGCTTTTATTTTTTTCCCAGGCAAAATAGATTCCCTCAACCAGCAGGGATCAGGAAAAGGGGCTATGATGTGGCCTAACTTTTTCCTTCAGGACCGGGAGCAACGCATAGCTACGCGCAGGAGAGGGGAGACCCAACGGCAGAAAATTCTGACGGACGAGCAGGAAGGCAAGATCAAGCTGGCCTTCTTTGTGGCCATTGTGGGGATGACCCTGACGGTGCTGGCGGTGGGCACAGAATTCTGGGTGGAACTCAACACCTACAAGCAGAACCACTCCGCCATCTGCGAGGCCGCCCACTTCGGCTTGTGGAAATTCTGCTACAAGAAGCTCTGGGTCTACGATGTGGGAGAAGAGAGGCACACCTGCGGGCCTGCGGAGCTGCCCGGTGGTAAGTATGCTTTGAATCCCCTTCCTATCTGCTCTTCCTCTCTTTGCTAAGTTTCAGCAATTCTTCAAAACCTGTTCTCCAACTCTGTTTGGGATAGTCAACTTTGTAGACTTCTCCAGTGTTTTATGCTGGTCTCCTTCTATTCCATGTCCTGTTACTGCTCCTTCATACAAGCAGTTTTGTTGATGCAAGGAGTTTGTTCCAAGAAATGTGCCTGGAGGTGGGATGGATGAGGCCAGCCCTAGAGGAGACAGATGAGATTGCTGCCCTTCTCACCTCCCCAGAAAACCCAATTCAACTTTCCACACGCATTCTTTCTGTCTCACACACGCACACGCACACACGCACGCACACACGTAACTGAAAAGCCTTTGCGTTTGTACTTTGTTCCAGGAGATGTGCCTGGATGAAGGATGGATGAGATGAGATCACTCTCTTGCTCAACCTCTCAACTCAACTTTCCACACATATTCCTTCTGCCTCACATACACATAAACACACACACACACACACACACACACACACACACAGAGCTATGTAACTGGGAAGACTTTATACTTGTACTTGTGTTCCAGATGTGGCTGGAGTTGGGATGAGGCCAACAGTAGACAGGTGAGACCACTGTCCGGCTCATCCGCTCAGAAAAGCCAGTCCAACTTTCCACACACATTATTTCTGTCTCACCTAAATACACGTGCACACCTGTGTAATTGGAAAGACTTTGCACTTCTATAGCCATTCACCATCTACTCCGTCACCAGTGGATTCCTCTTAGCCAGCCAAACAGCTGCTGCTCCTGAGTGGTTTCTTCCTCATAACTATTATGCCACTTGGCAATTTATGAAGATGTTGCTGCCACTCATGGGGAGAATTTTGCAGCTGAAGGGAAATGTGCATGGGGGAAGGGACTTCACTGAAGCTCTCACATGCAGTTTGTGGGCACTGATGTCACACAAAATTCCTTATAGTGTTTTTATATGGAAGCATAACATGCGCATCTTGCATAGAACCATAAGGCATGGCACAGGCAAGGTCATGATGCTAGTTTGAAGATGAGATTTTAGCAGCCATCAGTAAATCTGGGGCTCTTCTCCTTAATGTAATGGAATAACTGTAGGGCTTACTAAATTACACTTTTCAGCAATTCCAGCTAGCAAGACCAGTGGAGAAGGGCGTAGTTGCACTCCTGTCTTGACAGCAATGCTAATTTCCCTACTTAGACATATTCACTCTGATCTTTTATTCACAAAACTAAACTGATGCACAGCATCTGTCTCTCCTCTCTTGCTCCCCTTCCCTTCCGTTCCACATATACCAAGTCTGTTCATAATGAAGGCTCATGATTTCAGGCTTGGCATCTTTTTGCAAGGGTAGGCAAAGAACTTGCTGTGAAGAATTGCTGAAGCATTTATTCCCTTCGGCTAATGATGGGTGACTAAGGCCCTGCTAGCACATTTTTCAGATACCGGTTTCCATAAGCACATTCCCTCTTTGAATGTAGAATTGTCTTAACAGCAGCCTTTGGCATCCAGGTGGATTCCCATCCTTTTGCATTACAACCAGTTGCCCTGTTGTCTGGATGATTATAGGAGTTGATAGCCCAACACATCTAGAGGCCACTGAATTGGTACAAATGATTGTTTAAATTAGGAGTGTATCAGTTCATGAGTGTCTAAATTCAGAGCCCTTGTAGGGTCTCAGGAAGCAAACCTTCCTAATTAGCACATTTTTCTTCGATCCCATCCATCCACGTCATCGTTTCCCCCCAAACTTTATCATAAAGGCAAAGGAGTCCCTGCTACTCAGCTAGCCATTGCCAGCTATAGGGCCCCCCTGCTCATCTCCCTTTCAAGGCCATTGAGCCAGAGCTGTCTGAAGACCTTTCCATGGTCATGTGGCCAGCATGACGTCATGGAGGGCTGATACCTTCCCACCAAAGTGGCACCTATTTATCTACTCGCATTTGCATGTTTTTGAACTGCTAGGTAGGCAGAAGATGGGGGCTCACCCCGTCGCAAGGCGCTTGGGCCTCAAACCTGGGCTGCCAAGTTTCCAGCCAACAAACCCGCTGTCTTAACCGCTGAACCACTGTGCCGCCCTTTAACTTTCATCACGCAGTCTTTTTCTATTCCATCATCACTCTCGTCACATGCCCCGAGTATTTTACTTGCTGATATCACTGCCTTTGTTCAATTCAGGATTGATTGGCAAGGGTTTTCCATGCAGTCACTCTGTTCTTCGCAATCAGCAGCATCCCCGTGGTCACGTGATCAAAATTCAGAGGCTTGGCAATGACTTGTATTTATGATGGTTGTTCCGAACAAGCAGGCTCGTAAGCCTGCGAACCTGACTGGCCTTTCCACAAGCTGGCTCGTAATCCTGCACATTTGATTGGTCCGTTAACAGCGGGTCGTGATTGGTCTTTCTGGACTGATCTGATTGGCTAGTTAACGGGCTGCCGCGATTGGACGCTCCAAGCGCGGCAAACTTAAACCATTGGACGCTTTGACAGCAGCCAGCTCTATAAAAGGAGCTGCTGCTGCCAGTCTCTTTGCTCTGTTTCCTGAAGTCACAAATAAAGAGTTGGAGTCACTATTCGATGTCTCGTCTCCGTTATTGCGCCCACTCTCCGAGATAGAACACTGGCGACGAAGGTGGGATGCGGAGACGATAAGAGCTGACTGAACACTCGCGAAGTATTGACAGAGCACGTGGCTGACAACGTGCAGAAAACAGCAGAATGACCAGCAGCGCAATACCACCCGCTCCGTTTGATCCAGCTAACGAAGATTGGGACTCGTATATGGACAGGTTTCAAATGTTCCTGGAAACCAACAATCTGAAGGATGCCATGCCTAGCAAGAAATGCGCAGTGTTCCTAACGCATTGCGGACCCGCAAAGGCACTAGCAAAACCAGCTGAAGTCAAAACTATGGATTGGGACACCCTCGCTCCCATTCTCAGGGCTCATTACGCCCCAGCAGTTCCAACCCTCATCAGAAGACACGAGTTTTACCAGAGGGACCAACGGGAAAGCGAAAGCATCGGGGACTTTGTAGCTGATCTAAGAAATCTGGGTGGACTATGTGGCTTCGCGAATCTGGAAGAAGCCATGAGAGATCGGCTTGTCCTGGGTCTAAGAGACCTCACCATCCAAAGCAAGATTATGGCAAAAGGAGATATCACCCTCGCAGATGCCATAGCAGATGCTACTGCAGCAGAAGCAACCAGGAAGTCAGCAGCCCAAATGCGCCGAGCGAATGGGTCCAACCGCCAACTCGCCAGCAACATCGCAACACCCCCAGAGAGACACACAACAACAGCCCACCATGAAGACATCGAGTCCTCATCAGAAGGTGAAGAAGAAGAAGTCAACAGACTCAGATCAGAGCGCGACCAGCGAGACCAGCGAGGTCGTAAACCCAATTTTCAATGCGCCGGATGTGGGGGAAACCACCCACGAGCAGATTGCAGGTTCCTAAATGCCATCTGTCGTTCCTGTGATAAAAGGGGCCACATCGCCAAGGTCTGCAGAAGTAAACGAGTATCCAGCCCCAAGAGGAACAAAAATACTTTCCGGCAGACAGAGGGCAACCACCCATCAAAACACCTAGTGGAGCCCGTACAACAGAAACCGAATGCTTGCCACCACTACCAGACGAGAGGAGGCACATCAAACCGTCACCATCGGCCATGCCTCATCAGTGGATGCAAAAAAAATCTGGGTAAAGGTCACCATCGAAGACAGACCGTGCATCATGGAAGTCGACTCCGGGTCGTCCCTATCAATGGTCTCCTGGAAAACTCTCAAGCAACTGATCCCTGACATCCGCCGCCAGGATCTCAGCACCCAGAGACTTATATTAAAGGACTACCAAGGCAATCGAATCCCGGTTGCTGGTTCCAGTCACGTCCAGGTCTCGTTTAAAGACCACACCGCAACTCTACCTCTCACCGTCGTTGACAGAGACTGACCCAGTTTATTGGGACTACAGTGGTTCGCGCCATTAGGAATCAAATTGGCAGGCATCAACCAGACTGTAAGCGAAGACTGGGAGGCGGCCCTCATCCGGGATTTTCAAGATGTCTTCACCGAGCAATTAGGCAAGTACAAGGGGTCCCCCATTTCGTTTAATCTCTGCCCTGATATCGCACCCATCCGTCTAAAGCCACGCCGAGTTCCCTTTGCTCTCAAACCGAAAATTGACGAGCAATTGGACAAATTAATAGCACAGGGCGTGTTAGAACCCATCGGCCATGCCCGATGGGAGACCCCAATTGTAACCCCCATAAAACCTGACGGATCCCTGAGAATCTGTGGGGATTACAAGGCCACCCTGAATCACGTGCTTCAACAGAGCACCTATCCAGTACCCGTGGTCCAACACCTTCTTCACTCGCTCGGGGGCGGAAAAGTATTCGCTAAGCTTGACCTGGCCCAAGCGTATCAGCAGCTGCCAGTAGACGCAAAGACCGCAGAAGCCCAAACTATAGGCACACACAGGGGTGCGTTCAAATGTAATAGACTCCAGTTCGGAGTAAGCGTAGCACCTGGCATTTTTCAAAGTTTGATGGAAAGGTTGCTACAGGGCATAAAAGGAGTTGTACCCTATTTCGATGATGTATTAATAGCCGCCCCTACACGAAGTCAATTAGAAAAACACCTAAGAACTGTCCTACAAAAGTTCCAGGATGCAGGACTCAAAGTCAAGAAGGACAAGTGCCAATTATGCACTGAAAGGGTTGAATTTCTTGGTTACCTTCTTGACAAACAAGGTATTCACCCTACCGAAAAGAAATTAGCAGCTATTAAAAATGCTCCAAGACCCAGAAACAAGACAGACCTCCAAGACTTCCTGGGCCTCATTAACTTTTATAACATCTTCCTACCCCAGAAGGCGACTGTTGCTGAACCCCTGCATAGGCTCCTCGACAAGAAGGCTTCCTGGTTTTGGGGACGTCAAGAGGAGCAAGCTTTCCAACAAGTCAAAGACCTTCTA